CACACACACACACACACACACTCACTCACACGGTCTCAGGGCATGTTCAGACGTTACTGTATGTCACACTAGATGTCAGCGATACTGTACACCTCAGCTGCAGCAGCACACTCCACGTTGTCGATGCACTGGAGCATGGAGAGAGGGCTGCCACATTTCCCACAAAAGCAGCATGTACCTCCCACGTCAGTCATGTCCTCTTAATCAGATCCAGTGCTCGCAGCGCAGACACACACACACACACACACACACACACACACGCACACAGCCATCACCTGCAAACGAGACTAAGCATGACAGGCAGTTGCTTGTGTCGAGGCAATAAGTTGAATGCACCCCGAGGACGCAGGTGATTTATCAGGGGGAGATAAACAGCAGGTAGGAGGCGAGAGTCAGAGCGCAGAGAGATCAGTCGCATAAATTTGAATAAAAGAGGGTTAAAAGGTGAATGTCAGGACGGAAAAGACAGGCAGCCTGTTGGGAGAACGGAGGAGAATTAAAGGGCCAGTTCATCCAAATGACCGGAAACGTGTCTTTTCACTTACCTCCGGGTGGTTTGTAGCTGTGCGACTAGTTTTGGCGCGAAGATCAGCAGCAACAGCATCTGTAGTTGCATTTCCATTCAAGTGTTTCGAAGCAGATTTTCAATTTGTGCACAAAGACAGTAAAGTTTTTAACTTACTGTGTTTCCACTTAACTATCTTTACGCGCAAACTGAAAAAGAATGTAGACATTTTGTGTGATGGTGAAAAGTTAGTGCAGTACATGCACATGCTTCACAATGTATTCTGAAGTATCGCATTTAAAAAAGTTGATTCCAAACAACCTGCTCAATAGTTTCTACGCTGGTTTGAAGTAGTTTTTTCACAGAAGGCTTCATACGCTTCATGGAAACACTTTTTTTCTGAACACATGTATGACATTTAGCTCATTTGACCAATCAGCTGTTTTGATTTTTTTCCCACTTTTTTATGCTTCCGGGCGGCTTAAAATACAACCGACACCAGCTGGCAGGACAAAATAATGACAACTTTCTTAATTTAAAACAATTCCTTGAGGCTGCTCTCCATTTTTTTCTCACATAGATGGTTAACGCTTTTTTTGTTTGCTTCTTTTTCTTTAAGTTTTGTTTGTTTGTTTTTCTTTACAGCTGGCAAACAAATGCTTTTTCTGGCTTCTTCTATTCTGTTTATTGCGCCCATAGCGCCCCCTTCTGATGACGCTGCACAGCCTGGTTTAGTCACTCTGGAGCAGTTAATTGTTTTTTGTTTGTTTTGTTTTGTTTTGTTTTTACAGTTTTTTTTTTTTAACATTTCAAAAAGAATTTGCTTCTAATTTGCTTGACAGTTATATGGAAAATTTCACAACTTAATGCCACTCAGGCTGCTACTGTTGACAGAACTAATAACCATGATATTAGTTGTTAAAAACACTCCTAAATTATCTTCAAGTTGAGCCTTCTTCTTCTTCTGGCATCTGATTGGTGAATTAGCAACACCTAGAGCTTATCTTGCTTAACCAACCCTTAATATTGCAGTGTAGCAGTCGTGGATGGAAACGTGCATAAATTCGCATTTTATTGGTTCAGATTTTATGGCAGTTTTACCACAATTTGCAGCTTGAGTCATGTCGTTCTTCTACTAGAGCACTTAAGATAACTTTAAATTTGAACACACAGACATGATTCAAATATTCCTAGATTCAGTGTAAGTTACGTTTGCAGAACACAACGCTTGTTGCTTAAAGGTTATTGAAAGAATTTTAACTTCAGAATTTTCCAGAGAATCAACATGTTTTTGGGTTTTCTTCAGTATCAGCGCGATCCCTCGATAACCAACTGGACACTCGTGGGCACACTGCAAGCATGAACTGCTAAAAGCTGTTTTATTGAATATTTTATGTGTCAATTTGAAAAACTATAAACAAAATTCACCAGTTCTACCAGCTCTAAAAGCTTAGTGCAGGTAGATGCTGCTTCAGATTAAGTAGGACATTGCTGTTAAAGAAATAAGTTGGTATCAAAAACAAAAAGTACGTTTGAAGTGTGGAAATCTCAAATTAGCAAATCTAAAAACCAACCAAACTGCTTGACAACTCTGAGGGTTAGTGCAAAAATATGCGTTTTATGATTTGGTTAAACTGACCCTTTAATGAACTGAGATTTATGCAACAATCTGTGTTAGAATAATGCAGGAGGTAACATGACGACAGACCAAGTGTGCAGCAGCTAACTGAGAGCTCAGTCAGTGCAGTGAGGAGTGATGAGAGTTGTCAGTTTGATGTGTGTGTGCATGATGTGAGTCTGATGTGAGATTTTTCCTGATTACCCTGTACTGTCTTACATGTGTAGAGTGATTCTGTGCTAAAACTAGCGCTGACCTCTGTGTTTGTCCCTCTCCCCGCCGGCTGCAGGACAAGTCGTCCCAGGCCCTCAGCCTGAGCAACGTGGCGGGGGTCTTCTACATCCTGGTCGGGGGCCTGGGCCTGGCCATGCTGGTGGCCCTCATCGAATTCTGCTACAAGTCACGCAACGAGGCCAAGAGAATGAAGGTGGAGGCCCAGTTCCAACCCCAGTCCCAACACCCCCATTCCCACCACTGCTACCCCTGCCGCTCTGGCAGCCCCCGCCATAGCCCCGAGCCTAGCCAGAGCCCCGGGCACAGCCCCAGCATCCACAACTTAGCCGAGTTTAGCGAGGTTTTCAATGCTTATGGCAGCGACGGGGAAGCTGATAAGATGTAGATGGGGGTTTTCGTAGAAGGCCCACCCAAAGCCTTTGCTCCCCCCCTCAGTAGCTCCCTGCACAGAGACTGTAAGTGAAACCTGCCGTTTCCCCGCTGTAGCTTCGCCGTGCTGAGTGACTGTCGTGACCAGTGGCAAAATGCTTCCCACTCCTCTGTCTTATCTGCTCACTATGTGGTCGTGTGACGTCCTGGTCTGAGCTGTTTCTCAGTGTGATGGGAAGCGATGAGTCATCCTCAGACATGATGTCGCCACTACTTTGCTTCGCAGCTTGTGTGGCTGCAGAGGTTGGCCCTCATTTATCGAGCGAGCATAATGTGTGACCCATTTTCCTGCCAACAAAAACAACAACAAAAAAAAACATGTAACTGTTCATTTGAACTCGGTGGGAAGAAAACATTCACCATTGAATAATGATGGAAAGTTTGAGTTAATGTGAGGATGAAAACATAAAAGTTTTACACAGATACAGTGAGATTAGGTAGTTTCATTTGCACAGAGCGTTAATGGCGCCATTTTCTCAGCCGACACGCTGCTTTTTAATCGCTGTGATGACCTGTAGCTGCAGTGATGGTGATTTTTCACTCAGCTCGTGGCATTTTAACAGAGAGGGAAGGCATGATAAATGAGGACCAATGTCTTACTTGTACACACACGTCTACACTCATCCAACTGCAGAGCATCCGTCCATCAAACTTTGACCCTCTGAAGCTCCATAAGAAACATTCAGAATTCACTCATGAAAGCCTGGGTAGTACACGCTGTAGCTCAGGGACTCTGCTGTCAGTTACAGTACACAGTCAAGCTACATGAGAAAAGTTAATGAGAAACCAGCCTGGAGCACACACCAAGCCCCATACAATAAAGCCATATTTAAGCACTGTACATTGAAGCAAACACAAGTGAGGAATCCCTGGAGCTGAGCTGACTTTATTGATGTGAGCTGTTCTCTCTGGATATTTCCCCCAGGTCCTCGAACCATTAGACTTCCAGATATGTCTCCTCACTCGGTGTATATCTGTCCAGCGTGGCTCTGTGTCCCCCATCAGCACTTCAGCACAAACTCTTCATTAGCTTCACTGTTGCTTAGTCAGCTTCCCTGTCCCACTGCCTGCAACTATCACTCACTGTGTAATAACTCTGTCGCTAATGGGTCTACATGTAGTATGGGGCTGGCTACTGTACTTGAATGGCTACGAAAGGTGTTTCCTGACTCTGTGGTTGCTACGTTACTGTATCTATATATATATATATATTTAAATGTACGGCTGTGCTCTATTGTGAGGCTCATCTACCTGTTGGTTTTGCAGATTGGAGTTTTAGATCGACTCGAGTTTAAGTTACGATTACAGTTGCAACACAAGACTGCATTTTTAAATTTTTAAGTCTGTTTTCAGTTGACTTGAGCTGATCCTGGACACCAATAGAGCCTGGGGTTTGGCATTAGAGCTCCAAACAAGTAAATTGTATGTGTCTTACACCTTTTGTGAATCATTTATATTTCAAACTAAGATGCAAACTACACTATCAGGTGGTCAGAAAAGCAACAACATTGCAAAAAGCTTATCAGACAGGTTGTACACAAGGCCACCATTTTGCCAGATACCTAAAGCATTTCATTTGGAGATAAAAGCAAAAGTGTTCATCCCTGTAATGTTACTAATAATGCTTCATTTCACATTGTTATTAATAATAATAATAAGAAGAAGAAGAAGAAGAAGAAGAAGAAGAATATTGGCAAACTTAATAATTAAGTAATAATAAAAAGAAATAATAATTAAGTAGTAATTTTCTAGTTTAAAGAGTTTGACTAAACTTCAAGTTTTGTTGTCATTTGGCTTTTTAAAAAATTTTTTTTAGCCACATTCCAACTTCTTTGGCAAGTGTCCAGTAATAACAGAACTGAGGGCCAGAATATTTTTTCTCAATCTAAAAGCAGCTATAAATCTTTTTTTTTTTTTTTTTTTTAATCAATCGTGGTTTATTGTGTCATTTTGCTGTAGAAGCGTACGCCTGAGGTTGCTCGTTCAATAAGGAGAGAACATTTTGAAGTGTATGGAAATATTTATTGAGATTGTAAAAGAGAAGCTTAGGGCGATTAGACTCCAACGATGAAGCGCCTTCATTAAGCGCTGTCCAGTTCCAGATGATGGTGACGGATGGAACAGTCCCTCTGTGATTAGAGGCAGAAACTGAGTTAGCTAACTTGTAAAGACAGAACGACACAACTGTAATGAAAAAATAAAACAACAACAACAGCAACAACAAGAAAAAACCATAGACTGTATAAAAGATGGACGTAGCTACTGTGACGACCCCCGTTGGTTTCTGCACTGAGAAAATGAAGCCAGGGTTTTGCTACTTCCTGGTTGACATCTTGGATTTTTGGAGCCAGTGGCGGAGCCATAGGAGCAGCGATTGGTCAAACGGATTGAGAGGCAGGCCCTCTCTGCCCACCCACATTTACCGCCTTCTGCTCGCTTCATCTGCATCGTCGCTGCCGACTGTCAATCAAGCCAGCCACGCCCCTTGCCCCACAAAATGTTGACGATTTTTTAAAAATTCAGTATTGATTTATTTTCAGATTGGCCACCTGATCTCTAAACTTGACTACGAAAACGAATAAGAAAAAAATCCTGAGCTGGAGGAATGCAGTATTTTGTGATCTGTGATCACTTCTTTTCCAATTCAAGTCTATGGGAGCCAGGGCTTTTTGGAGCCAGCAGCTTAGCGGACATAGATTTTTGACACTTCCGGGTTGGCTTCATTTTTCAGGGCCGGTTGCTACGTCCATCTTTTATACGGTCTTTGCAAAAAACAGGCACCAAGGACAGATTTGCTTAAAGATAACTGGACGTATGGTGACATCGAAATTGTGAAAAGGGGGATTCTGATCGTGTGGAGCACCAAGAATGGCACATATTCATCCAAGAAATACAGACAGAATGTTTTATCCGTCATATGATTTTCACTGTGCAATGTAGGAAAACTACTTAAGACATTGTTTTCTAGGATAATTTGGGTTAAAGTGTCACATAAATTCCTAATTTATTTAAGTAGTTTTTAGACAAGTCATGCGTTCTTTACCTTTTTTATTGTTGAGCTTATTAATATTTAAAAGACTTTAACTCTGGAATAAATCATCGACTGCATGTGGAAAAAATTAATGGGATACAAAGGTTCCTAGATTATTAACTCCTGAATGATCTCAACACTGATTGGTTAAACTCAGAGGAGACAAATATTGATTGGATAAACTTAGAAAAGACAATTAGTGGCCTTTTTTCTGCCGTCTTCTATGTACTTGTTGAGTTTTAGTCTTCTTCTTTCCAACATCCTCAGCGTAAAGCTTACCATATATGCTGACATAACAAATCGCCATTGTTTTAATTCCTATTTCCAGTTTAGGTAAAGATAAACTGTATTGATCCTTCGCTGGAGAAACTGACACATTACAACAGCTAGATTAAAATGAAGAATGATGAAAACAAAAACTATAAATATAATAAAATAATAAAGACACATATGAATCTGGTGTATATAACTGCAATTACAAAGTAACAAAGAGCAAGAGTGTTACATTAAGCTGTTACATTTTTAAAAAAATATAAAGAGTACTTACATTATCTTACATTATGTTTTTACACTTAAAAAAGTATAAAGAATAACAGTGTTACATTATGTTATATGTAAAAAGTTATCAGTAGTTAACAGTGTTAGATTATGTTATCATACTTAAAGTGTCATGTCCAGTAACTAGTATTGTTGTCATTGTTTAGCTCACTTAGCTAACGTCATAGTCAAAGCTGTCAGATTTACAACTTAAAGGAAACAGAAAGGCTTAAAGGACCGATTAAGTGGTTGAACCTCATGCCTGGGCTGCATTTGAAAGTCGGCTACAGGAAGCGATTTCAGGTGTTCTTTAAAGCGTCATGCATTTTCTGAGATTGAATCCAAACACGTCCTAAAACTCCAATCTGCAACAGTCCAGGTTTTCGTACTTCCAGCTGCTCAGAACACAAACCTGTCTCTTTATTTCCTTCCCCAGCTAACATTTACAGAAGCCATGAGGAACAAGGCCCGTCTGTCCATCACAGGCAGCGTTGGGGAGAATGGACGGGTGCTGACGCCCGACTGTCCCAAGGCCGTCCACACCGGGCCTCCCATCCGCCAGAGCTCCGGCCTCGCCCTGGTCTCCTCTGAGCTGCCGTGAAAACCAAAAACCTCTCAAGTGCCTTATTCCAATAACAACAACCACAACACGACAAACCAATACTCACAACACCAAGAACCAGAAACAGGATTCACACAGCCAACAGGTCTCCTCCAGTGGGAGCGACCAGACCGAGCGAGGAGCGAACAACCGGACTCACGGTGCCTCGGTGACTTCTCTCCAAGATCTGTGGAAACCAGATGCAGAATTATCTAATTTTCTTTTCTTTTTTTTTAAACTTGTGTGGCCAAATGGAAGTTCATGAAAATCCACTGGAGCCGTTCAACCTTTGCAACTCCAGTGATGGAAAGAGGAGCAAACGGGGAAGAAGAAAATGAATAATATCATGATATATGATAAAGACGACGACCAGAAAACTGTAAACTTGAAACTCAAAACTGTGCGTTTTATGTTTTATTTTTGATTGCTGTGAATTGGCAAAAACTGAACCACAATCAAGATTGTTTTCAAACTGAACAGTATTTGCTACACAGCGGCGTTCAAGAGACAACAATCTCACTAGATATCATAAGGCGACGCTGGGAGGGTTGCGGCCTGGCGCCGCGAAGATATGATGGAAAATATTTGTATTCATAAAAACAAAAATTAAATCTATTGATACTGAATATATGAGCAAACATAGGAAACTGTGAAAATACGTAAATATGTATATTCCGTGAAAACAAACTGAAATCTTTAGCTGTACATAGGGACGACTGTGCTTGCTTTTTAAACAGATGTACATAGCAGATATTGTAGTGAACAGACAGACAGTTCTTTTTTGTAAATCATCTTTAAAGATTTTATTCATCGCAATAATGAAAAAGATGATGCCACTTGAAGGAGGAGATGTGCGAAAGGCAGTGTTAAAATTTGTGTTGAATACTTAACTGTACTATATAGGAACATTCAAAGTCTAAACGTGAAGGGGTATCAACTGCCCAAATATTCTGATACCTGTTGCATACAAATTAATAAATATATTCAACGATGAATGTTAACTAGCTCCACCCCCAACCCTTAAACCACACCCCTCACTGTGCAGACGTAGACCCAGAGAGTCGCTCATGAGTAGAGCTTTATAAATCAAGTTTCTGCCATCAGAATATAACTATTTTTTTCATTCTTTGATCTATTTTTTGTACTGAGAAATTACAAAAGAAGTTTGTCTGTCTCCTGGTTTTAAATGTCAACAGTCGAGTACTATCTGGGTAGAACTTTTAGACCATTATGTGTGTGGAGACACGAGTCGAAACAACGCGAAATTGAACAATACCGTTTTCTCTCACTGTATGTTATTTGAAGTGTCTATGCTATTTCCAATAAGACATTGAAACCTGAGCTGAAGAATCCACTGTTTGTATGTTGAACAATGATTTAGAGCCCTTCCTTATTGAATCACTGTGGATCCTCTGGGGAGGCTGGACACCCTGTAGCAGAAATGTATTTGCTCCGGTCTCGCTGACTGAGGTGTCCTCATCCCTCAAGGACAATCTGCAATCGAGACGCCACACGTTCAGCGACACCAGCCCCGACGACGCGTTGGTTTGTCTTTATTCCCAGATCTTCATCGGGTTCATTCCCTTACACGTACTGTAGCTGGACGGAGGGGGGAAAGTTTGCAGCGGAGAAACCAGCTCTAATAGTCCAGGTCGCGCCTTCTCGTCCTGCCATCCGTCTTTAGAGCTGAAGTGTAACATGGCGTCTTATTTTGGTTTCAATTGTACATCTTTATTTTGATCTTTTTTAAGTAAAACCAAATTTCAAATTGCAATGTCCTGTGTCGTTATTGGAGATGTACTGAACTGTGTGGGGTTTTCTTCACAGGATGGTTTTAGAGTTACCCAATGACTGAACACAACTCAACGCAACATAACACAGCAGTAACCTCATTAGTTACTTGTAACTATAAATTTCCACAACATGGAGATAGCATCAATCAGAATCCAACAGACACGTATCCAAAATACTACTTTCTGTACAAGTATTTATAGTTTTAAAGGTTTATTCCATTCAAATAACTTTTTTCTCACAAACGGATTAGTTTTAAAGGTTTATTCCATTAAAATAGTAATTTCTTACAAACAAGTTCTGGTTTTCAGATTTAATAAAAATATTACTTTCTATGCAAATACTTACAGTTTTAAAAGTGTATTCCATCCAAACAGTGCTTTTTAATTACAAATTAAGAGTTTTAGTGATTATTCCACCCAAAACGTACTTTCTAACCAACAAGTTATGGGGTTAAGGGTTTATTTCAGCCACATAGTACTTTCTAACAAGTTATGTTAATTCTATCCAAATAGTACTATCCTATGAAGAAGTTGTGGTTTTAGAGGTTTTTAACTCAAAGTACTATTTTCTGTGCAAGTGCTTTTGGTTTTAAAGTTTTTTGTTGTTGTTGTTGTTTTTTTATCCAAACAATACTTTCTAACTAACAAGTTGTGGGTTTCAGTGTTTATTCCAACAAAATCCTATTATTAAGCCCTATTATTGCCAGCACAGTCAGTTAGACCACCAATCGACTGAATCCATCCACCCTGCCATGGACAACCAATCTCCACCAATCATATAGTTTGAACACACACACACACACACACACACAAAAAAAAACAACTTTGTAAAACATTTCTTCAGATATGTATAGAGAGATGCATTTTTTTAAATGTCATTTTATCACTGATACCTTATGAGCTTCTGGTTACCATCTATATGCCATAGAGAATTTGGGCCAGGAACAGAATATTGCCCTCGTCTTAACACATGCAGCCCTAGACATCTCATGTACACTCCCTTCGCATCAACTCTGTGCAAAGACTCTCGCAGTCTTGAGATTGAGGAGAGGAAAACAACCAAACTCAGTACTAGTCTACGTTATGAGAATCACTTGTACGATCCGATTGCCAAATAGTGGAAAAAAATAGGTTACCAGACTTTTCAATGTTAAAGTGTTTCAATATTGAATATTTTTTTTATATTGTTAGCGGTCTTGTAATAAAATGCAACAACATGGGTGTAAAATAGTGAATCATCTCAATGTACTAAAATGTAATACAAAACCAACACAATATCAAAACTGACCAGAGTTCAGCGACTGTTTTGACAGAGCATAGATGAACCTCAGCTTAACACTAGATAAGCTGACTAGCCCACCACCTAGTTCACAGTTATACTGTTCACTTGGAACACGGACACCTCTTGCATCCAGAAGTCCACGCATCAGCTTGTAGCCAGTGTTTGGATGGCTCCTGTGGACTTCACTCACAATATGATCCAACTCCTCATCAGCAACATCTGAACAGAGATCAGTCTTTCTGCACAGAACAAAAAACATTGAGAAAGTTACGCTTTACTACATACTTTTTGAAAATTAATGACACCACTTATTTATAGTAAACCTGAACAAAATATTGTGACATTAGCTGTGGTACCGGAAAAGCGCTGGAGAACTTCTACCAAGTTTGCAAACAATATCTTGGTCGGAAAGATATTGAAAGAAAATAACTCCAAGAACTTCCATAAATTCCTCTGCTTTACTTGTCACATGCTCTGATTGAGCAACTCCTGCTTCTACATTCTCTGCAAGGTCTAAAATATCTCTTACTAACTCACGAGAGACTTCATGAAGATGCTCCATGATGGCCGCCATGTTTGGAAGCAGTGACAGAATAAAGCAATGGTTTGTGACTCGATCAGCGTTCGTCCCGCCCACTGAGTTTGATGGGTGAGGCTGACAGATAAAATAGATTCATGATGTGCTGCACCAGTGCCACCATGAAATAATTAAATAAATAGTGAAATAAATATATACGTTTTTAAATAAAACTTTTTGACATTTTAATTAATTAATGGCACATTTAATTAACTAATGATGTATTTAATGAAACTTTTAATTAAATAATTATATATTTAATCAATTGGTTATTTATCTATTCCCCCATTTTAAATCATTCATGAAACAGTCATTCAATTAATTAATTGTGTATTTATTTATTTCATTTTGGCACATTTCACCCTCCATAGTGGAAGAGGAGGAGAGGAGAAAGTTAAATTTAGAATTCCATACATGGCTAAAAGTTTGTTTAGTTGCTGGTGTTTTAATAGATTTTGTGTTTCCACAAGATTGTTTTTGTCTGTGCACACATTTTAGTTGTCAAGCTGTTAATCAAAGTTGAGTTTATGTCAGTGCTTAAGGCTTAATTTGGCACAGAGTTGTTGTCGTACTCACACTCTGTATTGAATCTAATCTAATCTGTTTTTGTGTGGTTTAAATTCATTGTTATTTTCTTAATTACTGACTTTCACATTTCCCCAGCCCTTTACTCCTCAGTTTTTTTTGTTTTTTTTGTCAAATTCATATTTTAATTAGAAAATAAATGCTTGTTCAGAGTCATTTTGCCAATTTTCTGAAACCTAAATAATGATTCTATTTCAGTTACAGCTTTGACAGCAGCTCTAACAACTTGTCCTGTTGTTTTTGCTCGAGTCTGCCGTGATTTCTTTTGATTATTTTGTCCCGTCGTGTCGTCTGCAGATTACACAACAGGCTGATGGGATGTTGTGGTCTGAGGAAGCGGGCACAGCTCCAACTCCTGGCTTTACTGGAGAAGCTGCACACACAAACCAAATCCATCAGCTGCAGCTCGACCTGTGAGTGCATCTCTATTGTTTGGGATGTAAATGCAAATGTGGCCATTAAAGTCCATCATTCGTCCTTCCAGTAACAGAGCAGCAGCAGCAGCAGCCACGTCAGCTCTGAAAACCAACCTTTTTCTCCTGATTATGCTTGTTTCCGTGCAGCCTTGGATGAAGGACAGTCTATTGATAAATTCAACATGTCTTCATGTCTCTGTGTCCCTCAGGTTTCCTTTACACTGCCTTCTGTTTGAGAACGCATCCAGCAGGACCATCCAGTCAGCAGCAGCGCTTGTTCTTCCAACACACTGACCTTATCAGGTGTTTCTGGCAGTCGCAGCAGAAGTACAGGGACGAGCGTGACA